TTGACTTTTAATATGTTTCCTAGGAGGTGCACCGTCTTAAAAGTCTTGCCGAAAATATCTACAATTCTATCAAAGAGTTCAACACGTCAGGATGCGAACCTTGGGTGATAAAATATCACAACCAACTGTCTGGTACTTTTTGTGAAAATCGTCTGATGTTGAAACATTTGAATTTATCCTTACTCTCTTCTCAATTATTTCAAAAACTGTCAATTGGCAAACATGTGTGTCCCCTCTCAGAAGAAAAAAGCGTGTTACTCTTCAAATAATGAGGCGGATGGCTGATGAGAAAGAACTCCATAACATCAATACCAAGTATGTTGCTGTTCTGACCCTAGTATCGAGCCACTTGTAAAAATCCTTGAACACTTAGTTTCTGTAAGGTTACTGCTGCATCAACACTAATTTCAGCTGATAGTATACGCAATAGAACAGTTTAACATTCCAGCAATATGAAAAAATAGAGCGAAGTTGAATTGCTCCAACTGTGAGAAAGTACATAATACGATATGAATCAACCACATGTTTTCTAGTTTCATTTGCGCAAGAATAGATTGAAACGATCTGAGTATACAGAATGATAGAGCGCATTAAAAACCTAACGATAAGATGTCAAACTCATTGTTGTTTACGATACATGTTACGATATATGTTTGTTTGGTCATATTTCGATTTAATAATTGTTAATAACTACTTTAATTCTTTGTCTTTACACTTATTAGACACAAAATTTGAATCTCATCATTCTATTAATATATTTTTACCAAATTTCAGTACACAAAATATTTAATAATTGACACGATTAATATCACCCCCTATATAACAAAAGAGTACTTTCTTCTCTTCCTGACCGTCTTACATTTTCAACCGATATCTAGCATACATTTATGTACGTCGGTAACAGAGAAAAGTTAGACATTTTTCTTTTGTGTACAGGATTTTTTAAAATCAATATCTGTGATCAGTGTAAGTGATGTGGAGTAATGTAAATTTTAATAATCTTTTACACGTTCTTCAAAGTACTTCAAACACGTAATTACAGTTTGGACAATTAAAAAGGGTAATTCCGTTTTATCATTGAATCATGCGAATTTATTACTTTTGCTTAATTGTTACCGAAAAGTTGCTATAAAATCTATGTACTTTGCATCTATGCTAGTGAATACGTATTGATTAGGAATAGGTTGATTAAGTTAAGTATTGATTTAGAAAGACCTAACGAGGACCGTATCATTCCAGGGAACCGAAGCAGCTGTTCATATTTTGTCCTTGTCTTTGTATGTAATCACAAAAGAGCATGCAAAGTACCTGTTAACGATAACCCTGCCCTCGACAACGTGACATTTGTCTAACAATGAAAAACAAACTTAATGGCAATCTTCAAGGACTCACGAAGTGATATCTTGAATGAAGAGACGGAAACGGAGTTCAACAATTTATCAGCAATAACACATACGATGCTAGTATTATTTTCTACAAGCTCAAAAAATACTTGCCTGTTATATTTATTCCTACATGTATATTTCGAAGTTTCATGGCTGTCAATTATTTTTGTGTGAAAGGAGAAGGCGAAGAATTATACAACCTGTATTTTCTATCACCATCGTGTTCGTGTTATATATGTGTGTGTGTATATTATATAATGTATATAATATATATATATATATATATATGTATATAATATATATATATACATATATATTGCCTCGGTAACACTACGCAGAATACATTAATATATTCTAACAATAGGAGAAACTAACGATACGTAAGTTTTGAGGATATTGGGCTGAAGGTAATTTTCTTAGATTAGAAATTGCACGATGACTGTAAGTTGCCACCGCTATTTCTCTTTCAGAAAAAAACTGTTTTGCAGTAGGGCATCTCAAATAATCGCTTCTGTTCGATATTGTACCTGCAAGTTAATTTTACACCCCGAAAAGTTTTTTTTTTGTAGAATACACAACATTTACATGACTTATTATTAATGATATTGCTTCGGAAACTTTTTAGTCACGTTCATAATATCAAAATCTTTATCTCTAATAGAAATCCTGCTAAATGTCTTGGTTTTTATCAAGATTTAAGATTAGGTAATTCTAGTGCACATACAGGTACTTTTCATTGTTTTTCAACAAGAATTTACACTATGGAACATGGTGACTAAAATAATTTCTATAACTTGTTAAATGAAAATTATTCTAATAAATATATTCCAAATTTAAACATTAACATCTAACATACTTCTGCTCCAGAATCGCCCATAGAGGAATAAAATCCTACTTTTGACGGTACAGCGACACCTGAAATATTCCTATCCTACAAGAGAATAGGAAGAAATTAATACGATGTGTCCAAGAAAATGGAAACAAGTTATTTTGGCTCTCAGCTTTTATAAAAATGAAATTTAAAGTGCACATTTCAAATGGAAGAAAAAGCCATTAAAATTTATTTTAAAAGCATAAATACGAAAAACCTTTTGATTAAAAAAGTATGCAACCACGCAAAACTAGTCGAGATTTTTTTAAATGCTTAAATGATTTTTTTAAATGCCAAATATTTAATTATTATTAGGTAATTTTTATTACATGATCTTATTGTAATTAATTTGTATCATGGGTCTTGTGCCCAAAATGCATATCACTATGCGTTGCTTGTCCCTTTTGTACGATTTAAAGGATTCCAGGTAATAATTTGGAACACGAATGCCACATCCATAACCGACATCCATACCACAACTATTTTATAAAATACAATCTTTTATAAAATATAATCTATTATAAAATATAATCTATTAAGTTGATATTGAAAAGAATGTGTAATAATGAATAAATGTGTACTCTATTGTCTAGGGGCTATATGCTTTTGTTGGAAAATTTGTTATTTTAAGAAGGGCTGTAGTAATTAAACTAAGATTAGCGGGTCAAAGAAAAAGTTAATGAACACATTGGTACTATTTCTTCTTAACTTCCAAAACCTCAACGCCATTACAATATTTCTATCGTACGTTGCTCAATCTTTACTCTCAGCAGTGTCGTGAAAAGCTAAGCAGACAACTCCATTTTCAAATCAACATCTACGCCAAGCACGACGATTGAGCAGGCTGCTCGGCGGCACTGCCGACCCTCATTGCTCGCCGATGGTGGCAACAGCAGCAGCAGCAGCAGAAACAGCAGCGGAGCACTAGCAAAGTGCCCGGTAATGGAACGGCGCCTCAGGAAAATCGCGCGACAGAAGCTGGCAATACAACGCACAGCAAATACGGCGTTCGTATCCACTCCGCTCCTATCCACTCAGGCTAGGCCATCCAATCAAATACAAGCTAACGAACGGTGACCCGGACACTACGCCGCTCAGATCGGACATCCGCACCGCTACGTTGGGCATCCCCTCTTCTCCAGCCTGCCAGAATTCGGAGGCAAGATATAGACGTTACCAGAGATCCAGATAGCGCCAAATTTCCGAAGGCTCACAAAACCCACCGATCGACCACGACTACTTGGCGATACAGACTACACGAGATGACTTCGTATTAGAAATGTTTCACGATAACAAAATTTTACTATACGGAGAATGAATACGTCAATAATTAAAATACTTCTCGGTGATATGTACATCTGGCAATAAGTTCGCCTAAGCCATGAAGTATATTCCTATTACTTCATCAATACTCAAATGCGCTCCTGAATATATGAAGTTCATCTGTTTTAACCAGTAGTACTAGTTAACTAGTAGTTAGAACTCTGCGAGTTGAGATATGCATTAAATTTGTTACACAACGAAAGACTTCATAACTGATCAATCGCCCAGCACGAGATCATGGAAAATGTTATGGTACTTCTCATGCAGCTTTCGTTTAATCGAAATTCGTAGTTGTCGCCTCCAATGACAGAGTGCAGCAAACGGAATCTGGCTCATCGCATCCAATCTGTGCTGACCGGAGCGGGTTCGGAAAAGTGTGCGTTATGCTTAAACCACTCACGATGGCACCTCGACAGAAAGAGATCGATGGTGCGTCGGTGTGTAGAATGTGTGTGTGAGGGAGAGTGTGTGCGGGAGACAGAAAGAGAGAGAGAGAGAGAGATTAGTGGGAAGCTTACGACAGACTGTGAGTCCAATTACCTACAGGTGTTACGACCAACACAGAGACATGGATCTGCTTTTGGTTCAACTAAAATTCGTCTAATATAAGGGAATCTTACAGTGGTTGATGACGTAGGTTGTATCTGGTACGGATATTCTCGTATTTTCAGAATGGAACTGAAAATTTTAAATAAATGATTCATTCAAAAGAAAACACTCGTATCCATCATCATTCGTACTTTCCCTCATCCCACACATCCTTCCTTTGCTCCTATTTATACTATTAAAACATTCTCAAAGCGACGTCGTGTGATTCATGTTATTGATAACAATTGAGGCGTCGTAAAAACGAATTAAGGTGTAACCGTGAGCAACCCAAAATAAGATATGATACTCTTATCTATAAAAATCGTCATTGCTGTTGTTTTGTTTTTTCAATAACAAAATCCACTTAGGGTACAAAGATTCCACTTAGGTCCCCTTAGGGTCCTGGTTTAGAAGAGCCATTACGAAACATTACGAAACTTATTAGCGAATTATTTTCTTCTGTTCTACCACGCTATTAATATTATTAGTACATTCTCCCCCACATGCATGTTTGGCTCTATTCAAATAAAGCTTTTGAGCGTACATCACATTTTAGTCACCAAGTAGTCGACTGAAGGAATTGACAGGACCATCATATCTTCGAAGAGAAAGAATACCAATTAACTGCTTATTTTACAAGCAAAAATACCTAGTACAGATTATTAATGGCCACATCTGTACAGAATACGACTTGTGGTAGTAATAAGTGGTAAAGGAAAAACCATATATTCAACCTATAGTAAACGTTGACTGACCACGCTGAAAAGACGTAACTCCGCAACAGTGCAACACGTTTTCAAGCAGTTCCCAACAAAATCCAAAAACGCACTCACCATCCGTGTTGACAGCCGACACGTAGGTCCAGTTGAAGCGCCGCACCAGATCCACCATGACCTGAGCCTGGTAGTAGTCGGAGGGCACGACGCGCAGGAAGTAGTTGAAGCGGCTCTTGTCGCTGAGGTCCTTGGACGTGGTGGAGTAGCCCACCTGCGGGATCTGGAAGAGCTGCAGCAGGTTCTGCACCTGGATGGCCACCGACGACGACGCCGGCCCCACCACGCCCACCAGCGGCGCGCGGCGCGGCGGCCGCCCGCCCAC